TCAACTCTACCTTTTTGCAACACAGGCATATTTAAAAACCTGCTTGGGAGTTAAAGCTCAGCAGTAATGTAATTCAACGCCTTCAATAACACATCCAATCTATTATTACAATATATTATTTATAGAGACTTGGAACAGCGAACAACACTTTAAATGAATGTGAAAGGCCTTTGTCTTTGTCTTGTGCCCATCCAAATTTATTGCAGGGTTGCACAACTTTTCCAAGTTTTAAGAGTTCCACCTGGTGTGACGTGACGATTGCACATACATTCACACAAACAACCACATATGGGAACAAAAGGCTGTTTCTGGCGTATTTTGACTTCCAACTCCTTCCCAAACCAGTGAGTCAGTACTATTGCTGAAGGGGAAAAGGAAAGGGCCTTAGGCTGTTAGGAATTATGGGAGTTGAAGTTCAAAACACTTGGAAGGATGAAGTTTGCCCATGTCTGATCTATACTGTAGAACTGATGCTGTTTGTTTGATATCACTTTAACTGCCATAGCTCAATGCTATGGAAGCCTGGGAGTTGTAGTTTAGTAAGGCATCAACACTCTTTGGCAGAGAAGGCTAAAGACCTTGTAAAACTATACCTCATAGAATTCCATAGAACCGAGCCACGGCAGTTAAAGTGGTGTCAAACTGCATTAATTCTACAGTGTATGTGCACCAAAAGACTGTATGCAGATCAGCTGAGGAGGAATGCATTGAAGAAATAAGCTGCTTGGAGCTGTCTGGTCAAAGGACATTTAGTATAACGTCAAGTTTTAAAACTTTGTGTTTTTTAAATATATTACAACTGTAGCCTTAGTTCGCTCCTGATACGATAAATAAATAACTATAAAAGTCACCTCATACAGACCTTATTTGTAATTTACATCTCGTTATTACATAAAGTCATGCTGTTGCATATTAAAGCTTTTTAATTAATTGATTAATTAATTAATTAATAATAACTGGAAAAGCTGACATGAGGAGTTAAAGATTGAACTGCAAAGACTCTGGCACAAGCCATTAAAGGTGGTCCCAGTGGTGATCGGCACACTGGGTGCAGTGCCTAAAGACCTTGGTCTGCACTTAAACACAATTGGTGCTGACAAAATTACCATCTGCCAGTTGCAGAAGGCCACCTTACTGCACACATTATTCACTGATACATCATACAGTCCTAGACACTTGGGAAGTGTCCGATGTGTGATCCAATAAAACAGCCAGCAGAGTGATCTTGTCTACTGTTGACTCATCTTGTTGTGTTTCAAATAATAATAATAATAATAATAATAATAATAATAATAATAATAATAATAATAATAATAATTTATATTCCAGCCTTTCTCCCTGGAGGGACTCAGGGTGGATTCCAAACATAAAATGCAAACTTTCAATGCCCGAACACAGCAACAATACCCCCTTAGTAACAAAAATTAGCAACCCAACCTATAAAAACAAATTATGACTTCACAACTAAAATTAAATTTAAAAAAGCAACCTGTTATATCAAACATAAGACAAAACATCCAAAGTAGATATATTGTTGCTTGGGACCAAAAGTGTTCCATCTTCTTGATATCTGAATATACAGTATACGTAGTGAGGTATTTTGTTATCCAAGTCCAAGTCCAAACACATTTTTTCTTTGTAGGCTTTATATTTACCTTATACACATTGCAAGAAGGTAACATTATACACAATGCTTTTAACTATGTTGTGCATAAAACAAAGTTTGACCCATCAGAAAGCATGGTTTTACTATCTCAGCTGCCACATGGACAATTTGAGATTATTGAGTATTTCGGATGTCAGAATTCTCGATGATGGATATTTGACTGGAAATAAATCCTGCTTTTACTTAAGAAAGCAACATTTCTATTTTCTTCCTTAAGCACAAAGGCTCCCCTGGCAGCAAACAGGAAAAAAAGTGCTTCCATCCAGCTTAGTGTTGTCAGGTTTCCAAAACAGCAATAAGGGACAGATGAAATTAATAACTTGCACAATTGATAGTCAATAGCTGTTAACAAGTTGGTGTTGTAGCAAAACACTAACTGCTAGTATTGATTTCAGTTAATGCAGCCGATCTCTAATCTCTATACTATGAATCTATTATCCAAGTTCATGAATTACATGATGCACACATTTCAAATATCCGCATCCTGAAAAATAAATATATATTTTTGTATCCTATCTAATCTATACGAGTAAGGGCTGAGTGATAGGAGACAATGCATCTACACTGTAGAATTAATTCAGTTCGATACCACTTTAATTGCCATGGCCCTATCTATGGAATCCTGGGAGTTGTAGTTTAATGAGGCACCAGCACTACTTAAGAGAGAAGGCTAAAAACCATGTAAAATGACAGTCTCCACGATTCCATAGCACTAACCCATGGTAATTAAAATGGTGCCAAACTGCATTAATTCTTTAGTGCAGATGCATCTTGAAACTACAGGTTCTCTAATTCTAAAGCCATGCTTCACAAGCTATGAGGAAATGTATGTTAATGGGAATTCTGCACAATCGGTTGTTCAATGAGTTGTTTTCCTCATTAGGGCTCATTGTGAAAAGCAGGCTCTCTAAACACTCAAATGCACACAGAGCACATATGGTCCTTTACAAGGATGACTAACAATGATCAAGCCAGTGAATTGCTAAGTATGCCTATTCACCAACTGCTTCCTCCCTCTGCTTTTTTAAAATTAAAGAACACAAAAAGACCTAACACTGAGAGTCGGGCACATGACAAGCAAGCAATGTATCTGATATGTTTATACCTCCATTCAAGTAACATGAAAAAGCTCTGCATCGTATTGATGCTGCAGCAATAATCTCAAGTTTCATGGGTCCTGGCCAACACCTCTTCTTTCATCAGTTATTCAAGATCTCAGCCACAGGGATAATTGATGGTAATGAAATAGGCAGGGGAAAACAACTAGAATTCAAGGTTATCTTAATCAGAGGCTGGATGGCCATCTGTTGGGGGTGCTTTGAATGCTTTTTTCCTTCTTCTTGGCAGGGGGCTGGACTGGATGGCCCACGAGGTCTCTCCCATGATTCTATGACTCTATAAGCAAATTAGCTGGCCATAGAATCACAGAGCTGGAAGAGATCCCCAAAGGCCATCTAGTCCAACCCCTTGTCATATAAGAATAATCAAAGCACTCCCAACAGATAGTTATTCAGCCTTTAAACAGACTAAAGATAGTACAGGTTGAGCATCCCTTATCTGGAATTCTGACATCCAAAATTGCCACTTGGGAAGTTGAGAGAGTGACACCTTTAACTTTCTGATGGTTTAATGTACACAAACCACGTTTCATGCATAAAATTATTACAAATCATAGAATCATAGAGTTGGAAGTTGGGCCATCCAGTCCAACCCCCTGCCAAGAAGCAGGAAAATTACATTCAAAGCACCCCTGACAGATGTTTAAAGGTATCTCCAGGCTGTGTGTTATCTATACACATAATAAAAGTAAAAATATGTATGTGTGTATATGGCTGGAGTGTCCACTTACACAGACAAGCTCCCACCTCCACAAACAGCTATTGCTGTCACTACTCAGGACACACCAATGGCCCTCCCTCCAATGACATTGCAGGTTACAGCGACCACTATAAACATGTACAAGAGCCCTGACAATGTTCTCCACAAACACTATACTGTCCACTACCCAAGTGAAGGCTTTCATACAGGGACAATTTCATCCTAGATTTTATGTGTTTCCTCCACCACAGACATCTCAGTGTTTCTGACTGGAATTTGCATGACCCCGCCCACTGCCTCTCCCTTAATCCTTCCCTATTCTTTTCTATGGTACACAGCAAACAGAGGAATTGATCAGCAACTGAACCTACGGGAGAGATCTGGGGAGACTTCACCATGATTTATAAGAGTTGTAGGTACTGGGGTGTATAGTTCACCTGTAATCTAAGAGTACCCTGAACTCCACCAACGATGGACCTGGAACTAACTTGCCACACAGAAGCCCCATGACCAACGAAAATATTGGAGGTCTTTGGGGAGATTTATAGGAGTTGTAGTTCACCTACATCCAAAGCGCACTATGAACCCAAACAAGGATGGACCTGGACTAAACTTGGCACACATACTTGGCATGCTGAAATTTGATTGGTGGAGGGGTTTGGGGGGAACTGACATTCCTTTCTGGGAGTTGTAGTTCACCCACAACCAGAGCAACAGTGACCTCTACTGATGATAGACCTGGACCAAACTTGGCACACAGAACCCCCATGACTAACCCAACCTACTGCAAGGGTTTGAGTTGACTGACTCACCATAGTGGGAATTGTAGTTTACCTTGCAGCCAGAGAGCACAATGAACCCCACCGATGATGCGTCTAGAGCAAATGTGCCCAACATAACAAACTTTTAAGTGCTGATGGGAGTTTCTCGGGGTTAGCCTGGCATGATGTGAGTTGTAATTCACCCACAACCTTATGAATTTTGCACAATTAAAAAATGACGTTTTTCAACAACCCAGGCAACGGCGGGTACCCAAGCTAATAAGGTATATACAAAACATGAATGAATGTTTAGATGTGAGTGTAAATTTGTGTTTCCATGTCTCATAATGTACAAGCATGTATGAAAACAAGTATTCCAAAATCTGGAAACATCCAAACTCCAAAAGACTTCTGATCCTAAGCATTTAAAATAAAAAAAATCTCAATCTGTACATCTGCACAGTGCATAGTTAAAAAGTGAAAGGTACTAAACATGTTTTTGGACAGAACCTGTTTTATTGGCTTTCAAAGGAGAGCTATAGGCATTCACGAAGGAGTGATCTACTAATAATAATGATTACTGATTATAATGGCAAAGAAACCTACATCTTCAGAAGCGGTATATCAATTGATGTTAGCAGTTAGGGGAAAATAATGAGAGCTCTACTGCCTTATCTATATTGCTTGTGGGCTTCTCAAAACACCTGGTACGATCTTCTATTCGGCAACATCTCCAGACTGTTGTTCTCACTCACCTGGCTGCCTGGTTCCTGGGCCATTCCTCGCCACTGAGCTGCTCTGTCCAGGAGTAGAGGATCCAAAATACGTCACCGGCGCCCTGGGATTCACAGCTCCCCGAACACGCTGAGGCTCTGCCACATCAACTGCTTCCTTGGTTCCTGAAAGAGAGGAAGAGGTCAAAGCTGGATCAAATGACAAGTGTGGTTTCCCTTTTCTCCAACTATTTGGAAAGGAAGACCCCTTCAGCGCTGCTCCGTTGCTTCCCCTGGAAGGCTTTGCTGTCAATGGGGAGGGAGTCATTTTGGGCAGAGAAAAGGATGAGGGAGATCCAGCAGCTCCACAAATAAGCCTAACAGATGTATTGCCAAAGGTTTTCATGGCCGGAATCACTGGGTTGTTGTAGGCCATGTCCTAGAAGCATACTCTCCTGATGTTTCGCCTGCATCAGTGGCAGGCATCCTCAGAAGTTGTGAGGTCTGTTGGCAATTAGGCAAGTGGGATTTATATATCTGTGGAAGATCCAGGGTGGGAGAAAGAACTCTTGTCTGTTGGAGCTACGTGTGAATGTTTCAGTTGGCCATCTTGAATAGCATTTGATGGCCTGACAGGTTTTAGGTGTGACTTGTTACTACCTGGGAAAATCCTTTGTTGAGAGGTGATTAGGTGTTCCTGGTTGTTTCTTGTCTGGAGTCCCCCTGTGTTTTTTATTTACTGTTATAATTTTATTATAACCATAATAGCAATTTTATTTATAGCCATTGAATCCAAAGGCACGTGGACAATTTCAACAGAAAAGAAGAAACCATGAAAATGAACAAAATCTGGCTACTGGTATTAAAAAACTCTAAAATTATAACAGTAAATAAAGAACAAGACTCAGCCTACAACAACCCAAGTCTAACAGAGTTTCTAAATGGCAGTAGACCTGCAGTGAATCCTGAGCATTATATAGTCTGTGTAGACCCATATAATGCAGTTCAAACTTCATTATATGGGTCTACGCTTACCATATGATGCAGTTCAAATTGCATTATATGGCAGTGCAAATCCAGCCTCTGTTCAATGAATAGACCTACAAGGGCTATTTCTTGCTTCTTGGCAGGGGATTGGACTGGATAGCCCATGAGATCTCTTCCAACTCTAGGATTCATGTTTGTGAGCAGTGCGAATCTTTGGCCCTTCCGATAGGCTTTAGGCTACAGTTTCCACAATCCCCTACCATTATCCATAGTAGAGGAGAGATTTTGTTATATATTCGTTCAGAGATATCCATGTTATAACCCAAAACATTTGGAGGGCCACAACAGACTTTCCAAATAGTATCAGGGAATTCTGGAGCCTGCGGTTTTTAAATGTTGTTAAAAGATGCACCAAATATCCCTTACATAAGCAAATACTAGTAATTTGTATGAGGTGCAGCTGTCCAGTTTAAAGACCAACTTGTTAGAACAGGTATGACTCTAGGTTCAGCCACACCAAAATTTTCCAAACTATGTCACGACATGTTAGTGCAGGCATGAGCAAACTTGGGCCCTCCAGGTGTTTGGACTTCAACTCCCATCATTCCTAACAGTCTTAGGCCCCTTCTTTTTCCCTTTAAGCAGTAAGGGGGAAAAGGAAAGGGCCTGAGGCTGTTAGGAATGATGGGAATTGAAGTTTACCCATGCCTGCATTAGTGTGTCAGCTGCACTGTGTAGATGTATCACATAAATGTTACGAGAAATGACAAGGATCTTGGAAATGTATGTTATTATCTTACAAATCATATATTATTAAACATATAAATGAAACGTTTTCATGAGATACTAGCCATTCCCTGCCACGTGTTCCTGTGGCCCAGTCTGTATATATGTGTTTTGTGTGTGAATATATGTGTCTATGTGTGTGTATATATTTGTGTATATGTGTATATATGTGTGTTTGCCTGTATATATGAGGTTTTGCACATGTGTTGCAATGTTGGGGGGGTTTTTTTGGCTTTTTAAGTCCCTTCTGTTATGTTTTTCAGTGTTTTTATGAGTCATGGTCACTCATTGGCCTGATAGGTGTATTGTGTCCAAATTTTGTCTCAATTCATCCAGTGGTTTTTGAGTTATGTTAATCCCACAAACGAACATTACATTTTTATTTATATAGATGTTGTATCCCCACACATTTCATTATCAAAATTCATGTATGTGTCTGTATCCCTTGTAAGAGGTTGGTTTAACCTCCAGTTTGTTAGTCAAACTAAATTACTGTGTTGCAAAAATGATGCACATCTAAAAATAGTGTGTCATCAATGCGAATGTTTGGAAAACTCTGAGCCACACCATAGAATTAATGCGCTTTGACTTCTATGACTAAATGCTATGGAATCCTGGGATTTGTAATTTGGTGACAAGTCAGCTTCAAACTGTCAAACTGCATTTGCTCTACAATGTAGATGCACTTTAGAATGGTCCCCAGAACAGCCTGGAGTGGGCACCAAAATATCTCTGCAGCACTGCACAAGATCTCCACCTATGTTTTTGGATTACAGTTCCCAGGGTACTCCAAGGATTATGGTTGCATCTTTTTATGGCTTTAAAAAAGATATTCCACTTTTCTGTTTTGTTTTGTTCCCTTATTTTGGTCTCATTCTCAAAACAAAAAGTATCAGAGAGAGAAAGTGTGTATACAAAGCCTGGGACAGTTATACTTTTGGGCCTAAACCTCTCAAAATCCTGCCACCAGTATGGCCAATTAGAGTAATTTCTCCAAGCAGGAAGCATCAAGTCCATCAAAAACAACATGGGATCCCCTTAAGCAAAGGTACAAAGGGTGTGAACTGAACAGGATGACACCATCCGAGGAGATGACACCAAAACTAAATTCTGTAAAAATGTTTGTACAGTTACAGGATAAATTTATTATTATTATATAAAAATATATAACTGTAATTAGACATAACCACAATGACATTTTTGTAAGACCAAATTACAATGTACTGTATCAATGTACCCACAAGGCTAAAGCTCTACACCAGTGTTTCTCAACCTTGGGGTCGGGACCCCTGGGAGGTCACGATGGGGTGTCAGAGGGGTCACCAAAGACCATCAGAAAATACAGTATTTTCTGTTGGTCATGGAAGTTCTGTGTGGGAAGTATGGCCCAATTCTATTGTTGGTGGGGTTCAGAATGCTCTTTGATTGTAGGTGAACTATAAATCCCAGAAACCACAACTCCCAAATGTCAAGGTCTATTTTCCCTAGACTCCACCAGTGTTCACATTTAGGCATATTGACTATTCGTGCCAAGTTTGGTCCATTGTTTGAGTCTACAGGGCTCTCTGGATGTAAGTGAACTACAACACAAGTCAAGGTCAATGTTCACCAAACCCTTCCAGTATTTTCTATTGGTCTGTGCTCCAAATTTGGTTCAATTCCATCGTTGGTGGAGTTCAGAATGCTCTTTGATTGTAGGTTAACTATAAATCCCAGCAACTACAACTCCCAAATAACAAAATCAATCCACCCCAACTCCACCAGTATTCAAATTTGGGTGTATCAGGTATTTGTGCCTAATTTAGTCCAGTGAATGGAAATACATTCTATATATCAGATATTTACATGATGATTCATAACAGTAGCAAAATTACAGTTATGAAGTAGCACCAAAAATAATTTTATGGTTGGGGGTCACCACAACATGAGGAACAGTATTAAGGGTCACGGTATTAGGAAGGTTGAGAACCGCTGCTTTATTGCCAACTTACTTTTTGAACCTTCTGATATGCATGTGCTTTGGTCAGAGCTGTCATTATTACCTAATTATAATACTTAAAATTATGTGGTTTTATTTGCACCCATCACTAAGATCTGCTGTTATTCTCATTACTACTGTTTTGTTTTTTCCTAGTCACTGATTTTACCAATGTTTTGGGTATTTTAGGCCCCTTCTACACAGCTGCATAAAATCCACATTGAACTGGATTATATGGCAGTGTGGACTCCGGGCCCTTCCACACAGCCCTATAACCCAGAATATCAAGGCAGAAAATTCCAAAATATCTTCATTGAACTTGGTTATCTGAGTCCACATTGCCATATATTCCAGTTCAAAGCAGATATTGTGGATTATCTAATTTGATATTCTGACTGTGTGGAAGGGTCTTATGATACAATATTGTGACCTGGTCTAGTCCATGGGGGTGCACCACAAGTTACCGCACTAGTTGGCACCATCACCTTTTAATACTAAAAGTAAACACAACTACCAACCTACCTGGAGTGACAGAGCTGCTACGATGGGAGTGAGTCCTTTCCCTTTCTGACACATTCCAAGATCCAGGGGGTTGTGTTGTGTCCACACTCAGACTCCAGTGGGTGCTTCTTTGACGGAAAACTGGTCCTTGGCTGGTCCCTGTCATGACTTCTGCTGGGGAAGGAGTGGAAGGGCTTGGGGATATTTCCTCTGGGACTGGTAGTTGGGAGCCTCCTGGGAGAGAGGCTGGGCGTTGACCCTTCCCATCCAGTGCCATGGTGAACTGTGGCCCGTGGGGAGTGGATGCAACAGGCATGGTTTCCCTCCATGGTCCAGGGGGATTCTGGGTATATCCAGCGGTTGGAGTGGTCGAGAGGTCGTCTTGTCCCTGTGTGCCATCATAGACCTGTGTGCTCCTGTATGAAGCCAAGTATTTGACTGTAGTTTGTTTCCCCCCATTCAGTTCCTGTTCTAGGACCCTGCTTTCCAATTGGCCCTTGGAAGTATCACTCCAAAGATTGGTACCCTCCGTTGCCAGCCATTTGACATGGGGACTGCCAGTGGGTAATGATGATACCAAAGGGATGGTGGACACAGTGGGCACAGGGCTTAGTGTGGTCGTAATGGAGAAATCTTCCAGGTGGTGACTAGGCTTAGTCTCTTCCTTGGAGGCAGTTGTATTTGAGGCCTGTATTGTGGACAAGGGAGATAAGGAGGCTGGAACAGTGATGTCCATACTTGTGGCTTCTATGCCGGGACTAGTAAAAGAGGAACCATTCTCTTCTTCATCTGGACTTGATTCCACAGTTATGAAGTCAATATTCTCAGGTTCTCTTTGAACACTGGAAGAGTCTACTTTTGACAGAGTGAAGTTATCCACTCCAGGAAGCTCCTGTGCATCAAGATAGGGGGCTAAGCTTACTCCAGAAGTATCAGGTGGTTTCCCAAAGCTAGAACTGGACACTGCAGGAACGTCTAAGGGCACAGGAGTCCCAGGGATGAGAGCAAGAATATCCCCTCTCCAGCTCTCATCGCTTGGCTCCTCCTCTCCGCTGGAGGTCTTAAGAGATGGAGGTTCGGAAGGGAGCTGAGCTGGCAGCACACTTAGGAGAGGCTCTTGAGATGGGCTATTGGGAACAGGCACTCCATGAGCTGAATTCAAAGGAAGGTCCCAGGCGGGGCTCTCTGGGGTAGGAAGCCGGAAGGCCAGGTGCAAGGCTGGCAGGAGCAATCCCAAGGTGAGGATCAGGTCCAGGTCAGCAGCCATTCTTGATGTCAGATGGCACAGCTCAGTGCTTAGGGTTGTCACAGCTTCTTATGCTTCATCCTGTGGAACAAGAACACAATTAGGACAGGCTGGGCAAGGAGGATGGGGGTGGGCATGAGGTAAGTCTGAAGGGCCAGTCCACGAGAAGATGACTTTGGGTTGGTGGGTTTGGTCAACAAATGCATCCACGGCACAGCACACTTTGAAAAAGTTTCAGTTTTGGATTGCAAATAAATTCATAAATAAAATCGAGAGGAGACATGATAGCCATGTTTAAATATATGAAAGGATGCCATAAGGAAGAAGGAGAAGGCTTGATTTCTGCTGCCTTGGAGGCTAGGACTGGAGCAATGGGTTCAAATTACAGGAAATCTGAACATTATAAGATCCTCCTGACCGTACGAGCTGTTCAACAGTGGAACTCACTGCCTCAGGGTGTGGTGGAGGCTCCTCCTTTGGAGACTTTTAAACAGAGGCTGGATGTGGGTGATTTGATTTGCACTGTATGGCCTATGTGATCTCTTCCAACTCTACGATTCTATGACCCCCCTGGCCATGCTGCCCTGGGAATTCTGGGAGCTATCCTAAAAAAGGCGACATTTTTCAAGCTCAGCATCACATTACTGGAATGAGACATAAGAAAGTGTGAGAATTTTAGGAGAACCCTTTTGGATCAGACCAAAGGCCTAATGTAGTCCAGCATTCTGCTTCCACAGTGGCCAACCAAAGGCCATTACACAGTGGTTCTCAACTTATGGGTCCCCAGGTGTTTTGGCCTTAAATTCCCAGAAATCCTGGTAAACTGGCTGGGATTTCTGGGAATTGTAGGCCAAAACAGCTGGGAACCACTAGACAGGAAGCCAAGAAAGGGGACAGAAGAGCAACATCATTCTTCCCAACGACTGTCATGCAGAGGCTGGTTGCCTTTGGTACTGGAGGCATTTCATAGAAGAACAGGGTTAGGCTGGGAGCTCATCAAAAGGCAAAACACTTGAGGAGAAAAATCAAATAAAGCAGCAGCCCAACCAAGAGCGAAAAGAGCTGCAGGCAAGCATGAGTGTATGGCTGTGCATGGCCGCACTCGTGCCAAGGCACATGGATGCGAACATGAAGATGGAATCACATGTGCCTGCTGCTCAGCCCTCCTGAGTCTGAAATGATGCTCCCTTCTCACCCAGGCGCAGCTTCGTGCCCCCTTCTTGCTCTGTGCCAGCTTCAGAGAGACGGCACATGGCAGCTGCCAACGCTTCACCCTCCCTGCAGCTTCAAACACTGTGTTTTGCCATGTCACCTGGGCATGCAGCTATACCCCAAGGAATAGCAATGAGGTTGTGTTCTCAGAGATGCGCCGGAGGATATTTGGGAGCTGAGCCTCGAGCAAAACGAAGCTGGGCAGCTCCTTTCCCTTCTGCTATCCTCATATGACTGGCATTTCCCCCTTCCCTTTGCTATTTGGTCGCAGTGGTGATAGCATTATATAAAGAGCTGTGAATCCCTATAGGTCACCCCAACCGACAGCAGAAGAGCCTCTATTGACATGCTAAGAACATGTCAGTAGAGTACCCAGGAACTGAACTTGGCACCGTCTACACAGGGACAAGGACGAGAGCAAACGTGTGTCCCTGCTTGGCAGCATGGAGTTGAACTGGATGACCTCTGTGGTCCCTTCCAACTAGGACATCTCTAGCAGTTTAGCTCACCAAAACAGCTTGATCTCCGGATTTGCTTTGCAGCTCCACACCCAACGCCTGAGTCCTGCAGTGCACTGATTCCCTGCTTCCCAGGCAAGTTCACCTTGGGCTCCCCATCCGGCAGCACCACCGCTTGAGGATGGGGATGCTCAGACCAAGGCAGCCGAAGCCGGAGCCCCTGATCGGAGCCCGAAATCCTGCAGCACTTTATTTAACCCTTTATCAGCACGACGGCAATGAGTCACATAACGTCTCGTGCTCTGCAGCCCATTCCTTCGCTACAGCAGGTGACAAGGTATTCCCGTCTGTTCTGCAATACATTCGTCTGCACTCTGCACAGCATCCAGATCATACGGGGACATAATCACCCCTTTTTACAGTCGACTCTCAGTTAACCCATGGGAATGGGTAGATGCCAGATAAAGATTGTTCCTGGTTGCTTGAGAGTTACGATTAAAAGAGGCTGAACTAACACTATACCCCATACTACACCATACCATCAACTCTATATTGTATTGTCGAAGGCTTTCATGGCCGGAATCACTGGGTTGTTGTAGGTTTTTTCGGGCTATATGGCCATGGTCTAGAGGCATTCTCTCCAGACGTTTAGCCTGCATCTATGGCAAGCATCCTCAGAGGTAGTGAGGTCTGTACTCTGTGTTGATTTGATATTACTATTGAATTAAATGCAAATTAAGACAAATAAAGATAAACCTAACCCAATGTAACATTTCTGCTAAATGTTACATTGAAGAATATTATTTCTTCCGTTTCCCTCCAGTTGCTTGAGAGTTCCAGTTTCTTGAATTCTAGTTAATTGAGAGTCTACTGTAAAAGGGGCAGCAAAGCCCCATGTGGCACAGCTGAACTCAAACATGGGAAAATATCCCTTCCATCAGGGATTCCTGGGAGCAAGTTCCTATCTCTCACGCTTGTAAAATGGGGGCAAGAATTGCTGAGTTCATCAGTTTATGGTAAGACAAATAATGGCTTCTAATAATAATCAACACTGGGCTGCACCATTCAAAACTCCTGCCTATTCGCTGACTTCCCTATTGCCTCATGCACTGCCACCCCCAAATCCCTTTGTTGTTGTCTCCTAGGGTGCATCCACACTGTAGAATGAATGAAGCTTGACACCACTTTACTGCCATGGCTCAATGCTATGGAATTATGTGATTTGTATTCTCATGAGGCATCAGCACTTTTTGAAAGAAATCCCCAAAGTCTGTGTAAAACTACAACTCCCATGACTCCACTGTATGGAGCCACAGCAGTGAAAGTGGGGTCAAACTACTCTACTACTTGTAGAGTGTTGCTGCACTCCATGTCATTTCCGAACCATGGCAAAGCTATAATGGGGCTGAGAGTGTGGGAATACATCTACACTGATGAATTAATGAGGTTTGACACCACTTGGATGAATTTATTTATTTACGATATTTATAGCCCACCTTTCTCAGCCATATGGTGACTCAAGGTAGGTTACAGTTTAGCACAATTTGATGTCAGGCATTCATAAAAGTGCCATTAAAAACAATCAACATTACAATATAAAACATAAATAAAACCCATTAAACCATATAATCATCAGTGTCATCTTGAATGAAATGACATGCTGGGATGTGTAGTTTGGTGATGCACCAGTCCTCCTGGGCAGAGAAGGCTGAAGACCTTGTGAAACTACAAACCTCATGATTCCAGAACTTTGATCCTTTGGCTGTCCAAGAGGTTGCATGCTGCACCTACTGTTCAGATATCAGCCAGCAAGCCAATGCCTTAAATCAAGAAATAGCTAAGATCTACAGAGATACTTGCAGGAACACCTCAGCAAGCAAGAGTCCAAAAGTGGCAGGCTAAAACCTGGAACCTCAGATGAGAGACTCCCCCCTGGGTACCCAGAAGACTGAGTGACTTGGAAGGAACTGAACAGACTGCGCTCTGGCACCACAAGATGCAGAGCCGATCTTCAGAAATGGGACTACAAAGTGGAGTCCATGACATGCAGGTGTGGAGAGGAGCAAACCACAGACCACCTACTACAATGCAGCCTGACATGCACAAGGGAGGACCTTCTCAGAGTGAAACCAGAGGCACTCCAAGTGGCCGGTTTCTGGTCAAAACACATTTAGCATAATGCCAAGTTTTTAAACTTTGTTTGTGTTTTTAAATGCACTATAACTGTACCCTCAATTCACTTCTGACACAATAATAAATAGTTCAAGAGGTATCAAACTGCATTGATTCTGCAGTTTAGATGCACCTTGTGACTGACCCAGGGTCATCCACTGGGGAACCCTGGTCTCTAGAGTTGTAGTCAACACTCCAACTGCTACACAATATCCTCCAGGAACAAAATATCCATCTCTTCTGTCCACAGTCCTCTGCTGTCCAGTCTGCTTCAAAGCATGACATTGTTTCCCTACTTTACCTGGGTTTCTCTGCACCTGGAAACATTGACTCCACTCTAAATATTGTACAGCACATGTGTCCAAATTTGGTGTCAATTCATTCAGTGGTTTTAGAGTTATGTTAATGCCGCAAACAGACATTACATTTATATACACACACACACACTAGCCGACTCCTGCCACGCATTGCTGTGGCTCAGTCTGTGTATATGTGTGTTTGTGTGTATATATGTGGTTTTGTGCATGTGTTGTAATGAATTTTTTTATTTTTTGGCTTTTTAAGTCTCTTCTACTGTGTTTTTCAGTGTTTTAATGAGTGATGGTCACTTGTTGGCCTGATAAATGTATTGGGTCCAAATGTGGTGTCAACAGGTTCAATGGCTTTTGAGTTATGTTAATCCCACAAACGAACATTACATTGTATGTGTGTGTGTATATATATATATATATATACACACACACACACACACACACACATATATATATATATATATATAGAGAGAGAGAGAGAGAGAGAGAGAGATTGAGAGAGAGCTCTTTGAAGGCAAAATGTAAGACTGATGTGGCTCTCAATGTATAGTATGGCTGGGGGTTGGGGGAGGGATAGGGAAAGGAAAGCAGAAGAGAGATGCCTAGATAGCTGTCATAACAACTCCTTGGCAGGAATGAGGCAGGGAAGGAACACAACAAGGAAGAGGAATGGTTGAACAGCAAACAGGGTGGTCCAGGGAGAGTGAATAAAATGACAAGGCAAGGGAGCTTGCTCATTGTTTATCCCAAGGAGGGAAGCTCTCTCAATCTAAGGTCAGCAGTGGACACACTGAGATCATGAAACAGCCTGGATCTCCTCCCAAAGGATGCATATTCTACACTGTGGAATGAATGCAGTTGGATACCACTTCAGTGCCATGGAATTCCATGCTCAATGCTATGGAATCATAGGAGGTGTCACTCTACAAGGTCTGTCGCCTTCATGCCCAAGTGTGCTGGTGCCTCACCAAACTACAACTCCCACTGTTCCATAGCACTGAGCCATAGCAGTGAAAGTGGGGTCAAACTGCATTCATTCCACAGTTTAGATCAGTGTTTCTCAACCTTCCAAATGCCATGACCCCTTAATACAGTTCCTCATAGTGTGGTGACGCCCAAACATAACATTATTTTTGTTGCTACTTCATAACTCTGATCTTGCTACTGTCATGAATCGTCATGTAAATATCTGATATGCAGGATGTATTTCATTCACTGGACTAAATTTGACACAAATACTCGATAGGCCCAAATTTGAATACTGGTGTGGTTGGAGGGGGGATTGATCTTATCACTTGGGAGTTGTAGCTGCTGGGATTTGTAGTTCACCTACAATCAAAGAGTATTCTGTACTCCACCAACAATGGAATTGAACCAATATTGGCACACAGAACTCCCATGACCAACAGAAAATACTAGAAGGGTTTGGTGGGCATTGACCTTGAGTTTGGAGTTGTAGTTCACCTACATCCAGAGAGCACTGTGGACTCAAACAATGATGGATCTGGACCAAACTTGGCACAGATACTCAATATGCCCAAATTTGAATACTGGTGGGTTGGGGGGGATTGATTTTTTCATTTGGGAGTTGTAGTTGCTGGGATTTATAGTTCACCTACAATCAAAGAGCATTCTGAACTCCCCAATGATGGAATTGAACCAAACAGAAAATACTGGAAGGGTTTGGTGGGCACTGACCTTGAGTTTGGAGTTGTAGTTCACCTACATCCAGAGAGCACTGTGACTCAAACAATGATGGATCTGGACCAAACTTGGCATGAATACTCAATATACCCAAATGTGAACACTGGTGAAGGTTTGGGGATAGACCTTGACATTTGGGAGTTGTATTTGCTGGGATTTATAGTCCACCTACAATCAAAGAGCATTCTGAACCCCACCAATGATAGAATTGAGCCAAACATCCCACACAAGACCCCCATGACCAAAAGAAAATACTGTGTTTTCTGATGGTCTCTGGTGACCCCTCTGATACCCCCTCGTGACCCCCTCAGGGGTCCAGACCCCCAGGTTGAGAAACACTGATCTAGACCAAACTTGGCACAAGTACTCAATATGCCCAAATTTGAACACTGGTGAAGTTTGGGGGAAAATAGACCTTGACATTCCTCTTGTGTGGTGGTGACCCCCAACCATAAAATTATTTTCATTGCTACTTCATAACTGTCCTTTTGCTACTGTTATGAATCGTAATGTAAATATCTGAGATTCAGGATGCATTTTCATTACTGGACCAAATTAGAATCATAGAATCAAAGAGTTGGAAGAGACCTCATGGGCCATCCAGTCCAACCCCCTGCCAAGAAGCAGGAATATTGCATTCAAATCACCCCTGACAGATGGCCATCCAGCCTCTGTTTAAAAGCTCCCAAAGAAGGAGCCTCCACCACACTCCGGGGCAGAGAGTTCCACTGCTGAACGTCTCTCACAGTCAGGAAGTTCTTCCTAATGTTCAGATGGAATCTCCTCTCTTGTAGTTTGAAGCCATTGTTCCGCGTCCTAGTCTCCAAGGAAGCAGAAAACAAGCTTGCTCCCTCCTCCCTGTGGCTTCCTCTCACATATTTATACATGGCTATCATATCTCCTCTCAGCCTTCTCTTCTTCAGGCTAAACATGCCCAGCTCCTTAAGCCGCTCCTCATAGGGCTTGTTCTCCAGACCTTTTATCGTTTTAGTCGCTCTCCTCTGGACACATTCCAGCTTGTCAATATCTCTCTTGAATTGTGGTGCCCAGAATTGGACACAATATTCCAGGTGGAATTGGCACAAACACCTCATATGACCAAATTTGAATACTGGTGGGTTGGGGAGAGGGATTGATTTTGTCATTTGGGAGTTGTAGTTGCTGGGATTTATAGTCCACCTACAATCAAGGAGCATTCTGAATCCTACCAAGGATAGAATTGGGCCAAACTTCCCACACAGAACCTCCATGACCAACAGAAAACACTATGTTTTCCGATGGTTTTTGGTGACCCCTCTGACACCTCCACCCAGGGGTCACAACAACCTCTAGTTTGGGAAACGCTGGTCTGGATGCACGCCAGAAGGGCCGATAAGTCTCCCCCATGCCAGGATAAGATGGGGAGAGGGCTCCACACTGCTCCCCCTTCCCCTTATTGCCTTACCTTAGGCGTCCCCAGTCGTCGCCATCCATTCGTGGGGTGCAAAAAAAAAGGATGCCCTCTTCTTGCTGGCAATTCAAGTCGTGCCCATGTTTAGCATCGGGGGCGAAATCCCTCTGCGGAAAGACAGGCTCCTTCGGTCTTGCATCGCAGCAAATGAGACTGATAATACCCACGGGAGAAACCACTAAGCAAGCAAAAAAAATGGGTGAGAGAGTTATCTATCAGCCTTGGATCGCCTCTCGTTGCAGACTGCAGAGGATTCTGAAAAGGAATCTCTCTCTCTCTCTCTCTCTCTGCAGCGGCAGGATTCGCACCCAGGGCCCCGGGGCGGCGCGCGCTCCCGACCACCTGGATGGCAGCGGCGCGTGCTGGGGGCCGGGCCAAGTCACGTGGTGCACCTCCCTCCCTCCCTCCCTCCCTCCCTCCGATAGCCAAGGAATGGGAGGGGAGTCCTCTCTCTCTCTCTCTCTCCCCCTCCCTCCCTCACTCTCTCTCTACCAGGCATGGGCAAACTTGGACCTTTCCTCCCTCCAGCTCCCACAATTCCTAACAGCCTCAAGAAAAGGAAAGGCCCTTTAGGAATTAGGAATTGGGAGGGAGAGGGTTTGAAGTTAGACCACGTCTGAAATACTCTGCCCAATTCTGGGCACCACAATTGAAGGGAGAGGTTGACAAGCTGGAATGTGTCCAGAGGAGGGTGACTAAAATGATCAAAGGTCTGGAGAACAAGCCCTATGACGAGCAACTTAAAGATCTGGCCACAGTGGTCCACGCTCTGGTTACTTTCCCCGAATAGACTACTGCAACACACTCTACGTGGGGTTGCCTTTGAAGACTGTTCGAAAACTTCAGCAAGTCCAACAGACAAAGTTGAATCCACGACATGCGAGTGTGGAGATGAGCAAACCACTGACCACCTGCTGCAATGCAACCTGAGCCCTGCTACATGCACAAGGGAGGACCTCCTTGCGGCAACACCAGAGGCACTCCAAGTGGCCAGATACTGGACAAAGGACATTTAATCAACTACCAAGCTTGCAAACTTTGTGGTTTTTTTATCTGTTTGTTTTGTTCTGTTAGAAATGTAATACAATGGTCTGGTTGCTGATGACATGATAAATAAATAACAGGCGGCAGCCAGATTGCTCACTGGAGCACCATACAGGAGGCATACCACCCCCTGCTATGTCAACTCCGCTGGCTGCCAGTCCATTTCCAAGCACAATTCAAAGTGCTGGTCTTGGCCTATAAAGGCCTATACGACTCCGGCCCAGCTTACATGTCCAAAAGTATCTCCCTCTACGTTCCACCTCGTAGTCTAAGGTCCACCGGGGAGGCCCTGCTCTCAGTCCCACCGGCCTCACAAATGCACAAATGCGTCTGGTGGGGACGAGAGACAGGGCCTTCTTGGTGGTGGCCTCCCGCTTGTGGAATTCGCTCCCCAGCGAGATTAGATCAGCATCCTCTCTCCTTTCCTTTAGGAAAAAACTGAAATTGTGGTTTTGGAACCAGGCTTTTGGCTAGCAGGCACAAGGGCATTTTGGACATTGAACTGGACCATATGATGATTGTTATGATAATAGAAATGGCTATATGACTGTATAATGTTATTGTTTTAATCTATTGTGTTTTATATTGTTATATTATGATATTGCAGCATTAGCCACTCTGAGTTCCCCCTCGGGGATTGAGAAGGGCAGGTAGAAATGTTATAAATAAATAATAATAAATAATAAATGTTTAGCCTGCAGAAGAGAAGGCTGACAGGAAACACAATGAGGGCCATGTATAAATAAGTGAGAAGAAGTCATAGGGATGAGGGAGCAAGCTTGTTTTCTGCTGCCCTGGAGACTAGGACGTGGAACAATGGCTTCAAACAGGAAAGGAGATTCCACCTGAACATTAGAAAGAACTTCCTAACAGTGAGAGCTGTTCAGCAGTAGAACTCTCTGCCCCGGAGTGTGGTGGAGGCTCTTTCTTTGGAGGCTTTTAGGAAAGGCTGGATGGCCATCTGTCGAGGGTGCTTTGAATACGATTTTCCTGCTTCTTGGCAGGGGGTTGGACTGGATGGCCCACAAGGTCTCTCCCAACTCTATGATTCTAAGTCCAAAACACCTGGAGGGCCCAAGTTGGCCTGTGCCTGTTCTATAAGATGTGAAACCACACTGAACTATTCTCCAAAAGTTTGTTCCCAAAACCAGGTTTTTTTTTACTTTTCTTCTGAAGGCTAGGAGGGAGGGGGCTTGATCTAATGTCACTGGGGAGGGAGTTCCATAGCCGAGGGGTCACCACTGACAAGGTCCTGTCTCTTGTCCTCACCAGTCATGCTTGTGAGGAAGGCGGGACCAAGAGCAGGACTTCCCCAGATGATCTTAATCTCTGAGGTGGTTCAGAGGGGGAGATACATTCAGACAGGTAAGCAGGACAAGATCAACAACTGTACACAAATGGAGGTATATAGGTTTTCCCATCTTCGGCATCTTGAAAGCTGTGCTTGATTCCAGGCACAGGAGGGTGCTGTCACTTCATCTTCCCTGCTGAAGAGTTTTGTTCATAGATTTCCTCATTGATCAAATCACTGGCATTTTTCTGGCATTTCCTTATGGGTGCCTTAAGGTGATACCTATTTACCTACTCACAATTGCTGTTTTTATCTGCTAGATAAGGCCAGGAGCTCACCTCGACCCAGACTCCGAACTGTCAACCTTTTGACTAGCAAAATTTGACTGCAGCTTTCAGTTAAGCTAAAGCCCGGCCCGAACACTGCAGAAGGTGCTCCAAGGTGCTTCATAAAAAGAAAAACTAGCCTATTAGCAAGCCTTTCAAATGCTTGTTTGCTATCAGTAAATGTTTGATTATATACATATATATTAGGCCTGGGTAACAATGGAAAAATTTGTTTCTAAAATCGATTCGTTTTTTGGGGTTTTTTGCGTTTCGTTATTTAAAATGATTACAAAATTTTCCTTTAAAAAAGTTCGATATTTACGAAATTTCGTAAATGTGAAAAAAATTACAAAACAATAACGAATCGATTTCCGAAACAATAACGAATCGATTCGTTAATGGCGGACGCGATCGCGCAATACGCTAAAAAACCTCCAAATGGGACAGGGGGAACTTCTGAAGCTTAATTAAACCAAAAACAACTATAAAAACCCTTAGAAAACCAAAAACAACTATAAAACTTGCCCCAGACATGCGGAAATAATAATGAAACGACCTCAAAATGATAACGAAACGAATACAATAACGAAATACAAAACATTTACGAAACGATTTAAAAATTCGTTTTTTAAAAAAATTGCTCCAGACTGGTTCGTTATTGTTTTGTAATTGAAAAATTAACGAATTTTTTAACGAATTACGAATTAACGAAACGAAACCGCCCAGCCCTAATATATATATATATATATATATATATATAGAGAGAGAGAGAGAGTCAATATACCCAGGGACACATCAAAATGTATTGGGCCAAAAAGGGTATGAACGAGAGCTTAAGAAGTCCTGTTTTCTTAATACCATCTAACCAAGGGAAGGCAACTTGTGTCTTGTTAGCTGCTCTTGCATTGCAACACCCATCTTTCCTAGCCAGTATGTCCCATGGTGAGGAATAATGGAGGCCACAAGTTACTTAGGACAACTTCCCAGTTGGTGCAGTATACATTCCTTTAAATTCAGGACATGTTGGATGAAGATCAAGGCTTGGCATGCCAATAATCCAAATGTTACAAGTGGTATAAAAGCATTCCCTTCTTTTCCGTAGCTTAGTTTTTGTAAGGCTCTTGATTCATAATCACAACAGATCCTTCATCTCTTTCTCACCACTAGATAAACTTCTAACTAAAGGTATGGCTTCCCCATTTCGTGCCTTGGGGAAAATATGTCAATTGATGGTATTTTTAGGCGCAGGGAGAAGGACCTCCTCCAAAAGATCACATCTGAGCATGATGTCTGTTGGCCTTGCCATGAGTTCAGGCAGCCAATTTGGGTAACATGCTAAGAGGCACAGAAGTGATGCAGTAGTAAATGCCATGTGATTTGCTGTATGCCACGCACATAGCTATCCTCTCACTTACAGTGCTACCCTTAGGTGATGTAGAGAAAGCTGTTTTGTCATAGCTGTTGAATAATATTTAAACTGCCAGGCTGGTCAGCTTTGATATGTGGAATGAGACAGACATCAACTGGTCGCTTGCTTCGGGAAGGATGGATAGGGCAGGACTGACCTCATTTGCCCTGTGCTTGTTGCAAGCAGGGGTTCTTCCACTGCACTCGGACTGTGGTGGAGGCTCCTTCTTTGGAGGCTTTTAAACAGAGGCTGGATGGCCATCTGTCAGGGGTACTTTGAATACAATTTTCCTGCTTCTTGGCAGGGGGTTGGACTGGATGGTCCATGAGGTCTCTTCCAACTCTTTGATTCTATGATTCACTCCAGCTCTTTCCTGATCTGTCTGTTTATTCCCAATGCCTCATGATGATGATGATGATGATGAGGATGATGATGATGATGATCATCATCATCATCTTTGTGGCGGAATGAAAATCATGCGTAATTCATGTCTTTAACAATTCACACACGGTCTTGCCAGAGAAAAGATATGCCACACAGATTATCAGTGAAGAATACGGTGTTAACTCTTTGTTATGCAGAGTCATGTGAACAGTTGCATTGATTCACACAATGTCCTTTTGAGAGAGATCCAAATGTTCCTTGGGTGTCCATGTAAAAGATCTTCTTCCAACAGCCCAAAAGCAGAAAATACAAACTGACTTGGGCAAGCTCCTGCACCGAAAAAATTAAACATGTAACTGTTGCCAAAATTCCCAGGTTCAGCTAGCCTCCTGGGCACAGTCCAACCAATCAGCTTTGTGCTATGCATTTTCCAGTTAACACACTCACCAGCTGATTTTTTTAACCTGCTCCAACAATCGTCACCATAATCATGCTGCTTTTTCCTCAATTTCATTATTGAAAGAAGTATTAAATAGGTTTTTTAAAAGCATAATTAAAATTCACACAATGCAAAGTTAAAGCTCGATTAAACTATCAGCAAAACAAAAACTAGTTTAAGCACAAGCCAGTCAAAAAGCACCACAAAGGTAGCAGATTGAAAATCTAGCACACTAGGCTAAAGATCTCTCTGTGTCTTCTTCTCTTCCTTTTTGGAAACTACCTCCTGCTTTGGTTGGCCAGCCTCTCAGCCAAGGGGAGGGCTGTTTCTGAGACTCCAAGTGGAGAGGGGAGAGCAGATGTGCCCAGTGCATGGCAGTGTGGCGCGCATGTGTGGGCGAGGGAGAGCATGCGAGGCTGGAGGGAGGCTGGCACCAGTGAGTCCCTTCAAG